TTTCTTTGTTTTGTTTATTTGTTTGTATTAGTAATGGACAAGTCACAATGCTGATCTAAGTTTTTTTAGTTTGCTATGTGTTACCAGGAAGAAAAATGTTTGATCAAAGGGAGAAAGAGATGCTTGTTTATCTAAAAGCTTGGATCAATGAGCACCAAGGTCTTTCTTTCACTTTCCTTGACTATTTCCGATACAAAACAAAATGTCCTGGAGTAAAAGTGTACATAACTCTCAATGAAAACATATGTGAACAACACAAATAAGATTTAAAGAAAATCAAAATTAAGAGGTAAAAAGCATTCATCAATGAGACGATGCCAGAAATATTTCAGACGTTGAGCTGATAGTGCAGGAATCCTAAATAATTAAACTCTATTGATGTGTTTAAAGGAATTATTAATGGCACCATGCTGTGGAAATGAGAGAAAAGGGACCCACCAAAACAACTCTAAGAGACTGCCAGTGTTTACATGCAGAGCAATATTTCAGCTATTGACCTTTTTCCAAATAAGACAATATTCCAATTATGCTGTTAACATGAGTTGCATAGAGAATATCCTATTTATTTTCTTACTTACATCATGTTAGAGAGCCTAGTTAGATCAATGACTTTAATCACATTACACGCTACATACTCCTACAACACATTCCAAAGGCTTCACTAGGTCTATATCTACCACCATGCAGCGTTTCTCTCCATCCCTAAACAACTACCTGTCTTTTAACCCACAGTCATCCTGTTCTGCACTCACCCCGCAGGAGCCTAGGGCATGCATTATAAAGCAGCAGTGTGTTGTAGGGTGCAATGAAATCTCTGGTGGAACACCGTAGGATGTAGTTAAATTTAATACATGTCTGCATAAAGTGACTTAAATCGGAATTCTCCTATTAGCTTCATTTGAATAATGCCTTCTCTTAAAATTACCCTATTTGCCTAACCAGGATTTGCATTTTACTAAGAAAAGCATCTTTCTCAGATGTGTGAAGAAAACAACATGGACCTGAATATCTACTGTGTCACAAAGCAAAGAAATGGGACTGGCCTTTCAGGTTGAAGGTATGTAAGAAGTTATTGAAGGTCTAGATAATTCAGTTCAGTTAAACAAAAAAAAATGTGTAAAGCAAAGGAGTTATCTTTGCTTGCAGTCTGACATTGTTGGTTTTTAAGAGTCTGATGAGAAGGATTCTCAGTTTTCCATGATGTTCTTCCCTTTATGAATAATTCTTGCCAGGATCATCACAACTCACTGATTCAATTCAAAGTGATACACCAGGTACTCAAAAGCATGATGAGGTACCTCTCCAGCCTTCATTAGCCTTTTCAGCTTTTTTTAAAGTAATTTGCTCTAATGCTGTCACCCCAGCGGATGATGGCAGAAGAGATCACACTCTCCATATGCAGCATCTTACTGCTAATGCAGAAGGACCTAACCTTCCTTAGGAAGTACAATCTGCTCCATCCCTTCTTATAGACAGCTTCACAGAATGCCAATAGAGAGGAAATTCCAGTACAGTTACAATGTTTTGGATTTTTACAAATTATTTTATATTTAAACAACAAGATTAAAAGTACTTTACATGGGTTTTATCAAACAGATAAACACTATGTAATTATAATGTCCCTTTATATATAGGGTCACTGTCACTGACTACTATGCGATGTTGAAGAGATGTGTCAGGGACGACAGCCCAACAACTTCCAGGACATTGTTTGTTTTGTTCTGCCTTGCTAAAATTACCCTATATCACAGTATACTACATATTACGTTAGGTTATTGGATATACTGTAGCTTACAGTTTCATAAACAAGAGAGTCATTCATATCCTTTGATTATTTAGCATAAGAAAATGAATTAATTGTAGAGCATGAAATTGCAAATAAAGGATATAGTATTTAAATGTATGAATCTCAGAACAGTCTTAGATTTAGACGCAGTATGAAAATAAAAGACAAGCTTTTTTCTGACATATAGTGAGATATTTGATACAGTACACATTCCAGTGTTACAAGAAAACTTAAAGCGTAGACCCTGACCTTGCACCCAGTTAATGTTTACTCAGCCTTTACTCTGTAAACAATAATGGAACATCCAAACAACAACAATAACCCTCATTCAGACAGGAAATAAACCGTACACTTAGGAGCCCAGGAAAGAATCAATTAAAAAGAATTGTTTAAACAATCTGAAATTATTGCTGTTTACCTCAAACAGAGACACATCATCAAACAGAGGGTATTTTAATTGTTTTCAGATTCCCAGTTATAAAGTTTGAAAAAGAGGCACAAATGATGTCATTCTAATAAGTTTTATCCAACTTACATACAGTATTCATGCAATTAAAAATGATTTGTTATGCCTCTGAAAAATATCACAGCCATGGTCTCAATTTTTCCATTTTGCTAACCAGTCATCAATATATTCATCATTTACACATGATTGTTTGTTTATGGGCTGAGGCTGATGCTTCATGAGCATTTTCATAGGAGATGACCCTCTGGAGCAGTATTATAGGGGCTATTTCAATTTGATGGCCGGCCATATGCATTCAGTCTGGACTGGGCTGTGGAAGAGATGCATCAAATGGAAATGAGAAACAGGGAGTGATGTGGATATGGTCATTTCAAGCAAATAGGCTAATTGGGAAAAATCTTTAAAAAAAAAATAAAATCTGAATTTTTCCAGCCTATTTAACAAAGTTTAATACAGTTTTCTTTATAATATGCACAAACATATGAAACAACTATAATGAACATAAACTGATGCTTATCTTGAAAATGTAATTGTTGTCGTAGGTGTTTCATATCAATCATGTCTTGTTACACTAATTAAAAACACAAAATACCCATAATTTCATTTTAACCAATTAGGCTAAAGGGACACCATGTAACTTTTGGCCACTAGGGGCGCTAGAACTGTAACCTTCATATCTAGTGCCCTTAGTGGCTACAAGGGCCGCAGCTCTGTCGCAAAAGTCAAAAAACAGTCAGCCGGCCAGCTTTCAGTGTCTTTTGATTGGGGACCATGCTAGACATCTAGAATCAGCCAAGAGGGCGTGAGAAACGCTGGTGAGGACCAGCGGCGGAGCTCGGGCATCTCAGTGAGCTTTTGTTTCGAGCCTAACCAAATTTAGCTTTTACTAAACAGTGAGAATAATAGCAAAGATATATGACTGTATACCAGGAGGAAAGTGTTAACTTACCAGTCTAATAATAAAGTTAAGAAAAGAGAATCAGTTTTACATCCGGCTTCTTCTTCAACCCGCTCAAACAAACAAACTCCTTTCCAAGATCGACTCTTGTTTTTCCTCATGCACAATCCCTTTTATGTTTTCTCTTTTAAGCCTCCACAGAAGGGTTAATTTTTTTTTCTTGAACAATAGTAGAGCAAAAGCCTTTGCTCCAATACTATATAAGAGCCTGTGGCCATAAAGCGATACGTTCTTCCAGGTCAATGATGGTGCATCATCTCCCAACTTACATAGTAGTATCAGAGCGCCGCTGGTCGCAATGATAGTGTCAAGCGCTGTATATTGGCCTGAGTAGTTATTTAAAATAACTCATATGCATTAACTCTTTAGGTCACAAAATCCACAGTTTGCCTTTAAGATAAATTAAAAAGTTTTTTTTAATATGGTTGAAAAGTAGAGTTGTATTAAAAAACATTCATTTTATCCCAACTATAAAGTAACAAACTAACATTTCAGTTTCAGTTTTTGGGTTTTGGAAATTCATTGCACAGTTTGGATTAGATCAATGCTAATTCTGACATTCTGAATTGAAAATCATGCTGGATGGGAAGTGAAATGTCTTCAAACCTGGAAAACAAAGTCCAGTGGTTTGTTTCTGAACTTTTTTGGAATGATTTTGGTGCAACGATTCTCCACATTACTGCCATCTTGTGGTAACTGTTTTGGTGGCAAATACTAATTGCACCTTATAAGGGAATTGCTCTAACTTGAGGCTTTCTGATAATTCTTATGTTATATTCTACATATTCTGATTTTAATTTTTACAATACAAGACCATGTTGAACTGCCATATTTGTTGGGGCTGGATTAAATACTTCTGGATTATAGCGGGATTATATTCTTACATATATGGTGCCTCCTCAGTAGGGGTCCAACTATCATAAACTGCATGAAATTAGTATTAAACAGCAGCTGGTTAAAGTATGTGTTAATAAAGTAACTAAATAACCTTGAGGAATTTAAAAAAGCACTCTTTTTAGGGACCATATATTGTACATTTTACTGTATTTGGGGTCCGTCTTGTGGTTCTTGCAACAAGAACTTCTTGGTTGCTGCATATTCTGAAAAATATGATTCTGAAGTGTTACAAAGTTGTAGAGTGGCATGAACAATGCAGTGTTCAATTAATCTGTGAAGTCTGGTCTGCTTTTTTACGGTCCTTTTTAGTCTTATAACAGTTTTATAGTCTTTTAGTTATGTGTGAACTTGTTGCCTCCTTTTACTCTGTCAGTGACACAACCGACTGTGGAACAATAAAGGACATTTTCTATTCTATTCTATTGGAAACAGGGGGACACCTATATTTTCATTGCCAGTTAGTGATATTTGAACACTACTGTGCCACCAAGAATTTCAAAGAAATTTCTGTTTAAAGAAAATGCAAGTTTGTCTTCAAAGGCAAACCACCACATGAGTTTAGGACAAAAGAAGCATCTCCAACAGTCTGTCCAATTAGAATGTCCCCTGTGACCACAGTGCACAGCTTTGGCTCTATGTGTGTGCATGTGTGTGTCTTCAGGGGGGTTATGGGGGTGGGGTGTTAGTTGGCTCTAATCTGCTTGATGATGAAGATCCTCTGTGCTCAGGGGGATCTGATGAGGGAGTTGGGGAGAAACGGTGGGGGCTTGTGGGTGGGTTGGAGGAGGTGGGGGCTTTGCTCTCCTGCCTTACACCAATGCAATCATGACCGTCGCTCACCACTGAGCCAGCAGTGCTCCCAAACCCTCCTCACATTTTTTTCCCTGCTTCAAACACACACCACCTTTCTTTTGGTGCAGACACACACACACACACTTTGCCCTACTCACTCAGTCACTCGCTCTCCCCCATCTCCCTACCATTCAGTCGTTGTTCTGCATCCGCTCGGACGCACTCCACTTTAGGTACAGCTCCAGTGTATTCTCCATCTCTTCCTCTCCAGTGCAGTGCCTACAGTCACGGGCGTCTTGTTATGCTCCAGCTCGCACTCAAAGTGAACGCAGATAGTGGGATGATGACTGAAAGGCACCAAAGAGGAAAACAGGGTGAGAAAAGGAATTAAAAAGGAGTGAAAGGAGAAAGAGGGAGACTGCTCTTGCGTAAAGGTGGAAGGACAGTTTGATTCAGAGAGAATTTGGATTAAACTGGGTGCTTTTCTGCCTCCAAGTTACCATTAAAGGTAAGTGTTTTTATATTGAGCTATTCTTTCTAACTATTTGCTTTTTCACTCGTACGATAGATCTTAGAATAACAGAAATGTAATTAAGAACTCCATGCACACTTGGTTTTCATCTCAGCTCCAGATGCTCTGTTTGATGAAGTTATAGCTTTAATTTCCTTTACCAAATCCAAGTTAAGCACCTCTTGCAAACCTGTGGTGAAGCAGGATGAGACGTGTGCCCTTGACAGTGTTGTAATGCGGTTCAACTTCAAGCATCCCCGCCACTTTTTGGCAGCTCCGTGCCCCCTGCGCCTCTCTGTCGGGACTCATAGAGTGAGATGATGTCGGAGAAAGGCATCAATTAGACACGTGTCATGATCGAGTGAATGTGCCGCCATCAGCTGTAAGTCTGAGTTCCTTCTTTTGGATTCATCTGCATATGAAAAGGGCTGCACGGCTTTTTAACTCCGTGCTCAACAGTGATTATCTCCCCACGCTGTGTCAAAAGGTTTTGGCAAGTTGTTCAGAGACGTGCTTATGACGTTGAGCCACACAAAAAGAGGTCCCATCTTATCCAATCAACGCTAAACTGATCTGATGAAAAGTGCGAATTAATACTCTAGTCCAAGTGGATAATATGTGACCTTAATGTGTCACACGTGTCTTTTTCGGTCTACACAGTGAAGTGTCCATGTATAAGGTATAAATGCTTGAAAGGATTCCTTTTGTTTGCAGAGTCTTTAATCTGTGCAAACAAAACAAATCTTGAGGAGGTTGGCTAGGGTTAGAAACAACAGAAACACAGATGTAACCTCTACCTCAGTGTTCAGTAGCAGCTGTTCGATTTGGATCATTAGAATTGAAAAAGACATCCGCAGAAAAAAACAAAAGCATGGTTTTACTTCGGAAGTTTCCTTTTGTTTGCTCGGAGTCTATTAGACCAATTATCTTTGTTGATGCAAAAACAAGTGCCAATTAGGATGAGTAAGATTAGATATACATAGGAACTAAAGTGAAAACAACTTCTATCGATTCTGCAGATCCTTTTAAAAATGTGAATCCCAGATACACATCCTATTTCCCAAAATCAGAAGCAGTTACTTGGAATTACTCATGGATGTTTTAGGGAAGTTGCATAGATTTTCTAGAGAAGTCTCTTTATGTTAGGAAAAAGCATATTAGGGAAATACTGCAAGGGAACAATTCCTGTGTAGTTGCAAGGAAGACCAATGTGAAAGAAACTGGCTAAGATTTGCGTTAAGCCAAGAAACAACAGCATTACAGATGTAACCTTTCCACTCTTACGCTGTGGAAGATGTAGATTTAGATGACAACAAATAACAGTGACATAAATATGTGTGATCTATTGATTCCGCTACTTCCTTGCTAGTTGTAATTACACTAGATAAGCATCTTCTCTGCAGAACAAGTGGCAGCCACATGGACTGGCATGAACTTAATCCACTTTTTGGGACTTTTTAGTCCATATGCATGGCTGATTTTGCATCAGGGATAATAAGATCAGTCTCTTCATTTTCTCTGTATTTGCAATGTTTTTCTAGTCTACAGGGGTGCCATATGCGGCTTTTCAGTGAATCCCGTCTTCACTTACAGATTAGATGAAAAATAAGCCTTTACCCTCAGCTGCTTCAGGCAGATCTAATGCCCCCTTGCTCAAGTGTTTGAGGCGCTGAATTCTCTTATCAACATTCAGCTGAAAACACCTGCTTTGGAATAATCAAATTATACTCCAAGGAGTCTGCCCTCAGTAAAAGGAGAAGCCGGACCTTTTGAGTACACAGAGGCTACTGTGCAGAAAATGAGCATTCAAGGCATGCCGCCACCGACCACTCAGATATTATAACTGCATTAGAGGGGGATAAGTCAAGACACATGCAATATACTTGTGATTATTAAGAGATGCCAACACTACTAACCAACTGAGGTGGACACAGTGGCAATCATTTCTCCGATTTGATGATTGGAACATAATATTCTCCTGAGATAACGTTCTTTTTTTCATGTGTGAATAACACCATTCTGTATTCTGGATCTTGTCTTCTGGTTTCACGTGTTCAGCGCTGCCCTTGATAGATGCCGGTCCAGCAAAAGGACAGGATGCAGCATCCCATCACAATGTCTAACACTGAACAGCATTACATCAGATTATCTTGTTACGGGCTGCACCACCCTGCCAGTGTATTTGCACAGATTAAATCAAATCCCAATTGTTTTGCAGCAGAACATGATTTGTTGAATTAACTGACAATTAATCATAACTGATAAGCTCCTTAGTGATTTCTGGTTGTTTGTTTTAAGGGCATAAAACTATTGCACACCTCCGAAGGGAAATATATTATCCCATGCCATCATCAGTTGACTGTAATACATCAGTTGCAGCATCTCTTAGCATAGGAAAAGTCAACTCTGCACTGTGTCCATGTAAATTTAATGGCTAGACTAAGTGCTCTGTGGTAAATTACAGCATGCGTCTACCAAGCTGTCATCATGTCTTCGGACCTGCTGCTCCATTTGATTAGAAAGAGCTGTTATTTATAGATAGTCTGCAGCCCTAACCATAAAGCAAAACTACAGTGATCAGTCATATGGATGTGCCACCTATCGCTGCATTTCTAAGTGCATGTCCATCAGGAGCCTCGGGGTTCAAATGTAATCAATACCTTAGATTATTTGGCGTCTCCAGACTCTCTTTACCTTGGGCTTTGCAATCCCCGCCCCCCACTCAAATAGACTCATTTCGACATCATTCTGCTCTAAATGAGGTGTGTCAGAGTGTGTGTGCGTGCACCAAAGTGCATCTGTCAGCGCGCATTTTTGTAGCGGCAAAAGATGTAATAAGCTGTCAGAAACTTGCTTCCACACTTTCAAGCATCTGAATGCTAATCAGACAGTGATTTGCTTGTCCTGTCTGTGTGCTCACAGCCAATCTCAAATGAAACTATTGCATTGTGTCTGTGTAAACGGGCTTCGTGTCAGGCTGCAATTTTTCCCCCACTGTGAGCCACACTCAGCCAAAGACCCCTGCAGACCCCCTAAGACCAGACGTTCCCTGCCTCTCCAGACAATCATCAGCAACAGTCCTAAACATCTTGAATTAAAGTCTTGCAGTGATGGATGACTCTCAATCTCCCGGAGATATTGCACACGCTTCTTGTCTGAATGATGGGCAACTCCTCTCCACTCCACTTAGCAATTATTTATATAGATTTGTCTCTGTTCATGTGTCAGGGTTTTTTTCTCTTTCTTCATTTCTTCCTCTCTGCGGTAGAAACCCCCCCTGCAGAGGTAAAAGCTCACAGTTTGTGAAGGCCTCTTATTCTGAGACTTTCTGTAAAACAAACGAATGGAACTTTCCCTGTGGTGTATGCATGTTATCTGAAGCGGGCGGCAAAAATAGAAGTAGGAAGGATGCGGTTACCTGATGATACCATTTTATATCGAGGACACAACTGTTTTGCCCTAAGAAAAAGACAAAGCAGTGAGCTCTGTATGATGTTCTGTGTAAGATAAAAGGTGAGGCGGCTCCTCTGAGACTCAAACTGCACACTGTCTGAACACTGATTATTACTCACACTTGAGCACTGTTGGGGTTTTTATCTCAGAATGTCCACAGTCGGAGGGCTCGAGAAAAACACGATTATTAATCAGCCTCCTCATATTTTTCTTTCTTACTATCCTACTTAAAATCACTGGAGTTCACAACCTTCAGCTATCTCAAGGAAAATCCAAGGTGAGGTCAGTTTATGGTCTCCGGTTTTGTTCGAGCAGAAGAAAAATGTGGCTTAAAACACTCTGAGGCAATTCTTGAAACACCTCAATGAGCCTTGGGCCTTTATGTTCCTGGGGAGATTTTTGTGATCCCTTTTGAAAGATTCATCACGCATTAGCAACAGAAACAAGCCATGAACAGTTTTGAAAGCCTTTCTTTCCTTTTACCCCTTCGACTGTAATTCAAAGTCCGAAGGAATAGAGTTTACAATACATCGGGCGATACAGTAGTTTAGACATTTAAAGAAAAATGTAATTTCATTTAAGAAAAAAAAAAGGAAAATCAGCTATCCAAGACATTTCTAGAACTGTTTGGAACAAAGTAATTTTTTTTTCTGATTTTCTTCCATATTTTATATAGGTAAGCACTTTAAAACACAATGATGTCTACAACCTGTAGTTAAAAAGCGCTTAGGATTGATGAAGAGGGTTTTGGTCATGACCAATATGGTCAAAAATTCCACTTAAAAAGACATTCTTTGGGCTAAAAAAAAAAAATCACACTTGCTAAAAAACCTGAAATGTATTTTGTCCTATGATACTTTGAGGTATTTTATCGGAATAGATTTATTTTAGACTTAATGATCCATGTGAGAGGTATATAAGATTGGCAATGCACTACTGATACCGTAAACCGTCAAAATCTAGAGCCATTTTGCAACACATTTTATCCGTATATTCACAGATCTGAATCAAATAGATGGACTGCCTTTTTGATTTTCAGTAAAGGTCTACCAAGTTCTAATGATGATTCAATAATTTGATTCAGGTGTGCTGCAGCAGAGACATCTATAATTTCAGGACTCCAGCCCTCCAGGAGCGGAATGCTGCATCCCTACCATCGATAAAATGATTCTGCCATGAGGCAGATACTAAATACACTAAATACTTTAGTATTTGATGTTAAACCTTGACTGAAAGACAGAGCTTTTAAATGCATATGCCTGAAATAAATTTATTTGAGATAATGGCTGCCTTTAGGTTAAAAATAAAATGGTGCCAGGAGGAGCGTTGAGTTCAGCCACATCTAAAAGGCGTCTAATGGGGATGTCTCCACAGGACCCATGCAAAAACCCCATTGGTTGGATTCAGAATCTCTTATAAAGTTTTAATCTGTCCAGGAACAGGGAATTAGCCTTATTTATCTGGAAAAAACACAGGAAATATTAAATTAAGGAGACTCCTGTTAATCATTCTACTCTGGTAGAAACTTTGGATACCCAAGAACA